TTTTTTTTTGGGGGGGGGGTTCGTGGATTTTATTGTTTTCTATAATACGGTCACCCGTTGTGGTGGTGTAGATTTTAATGTCTGTTTGTTCTATCTGAGCTCCTCTGAGTCACCGCTCTTGTTCACTGACGCTTAGAAACAAAATGTCCCAGCGAATAACGCTGATATAATCTGCAAGTATGAGAAATTCTGACCGATTAGTTCTCCTTATTTTGTAAACTGCCACGATCAAGCTTATAACCAGATCATCCAACATGAAGTTACCAAGTTTGCCACTTAAGCAATCTTTTAGAACTTATGGATCAGTAGTTTCATATAATTTTGGTAAGCCACAATTTTTTCTACTGCCCATACGGATAATATAAACCCGTTTAACACCACAACTTCTATTCTACACAGTGGTTTTGATCTCCTGGTTGAGTTTGTATCAGTTGCTCATGTAGGATATCTGTGAATACCTGAAAATTTTCGAGCATTCAAGTTAATAAATGACTGAACAATATCCAGTTATCGGTGTGGGTGACAAGCACAAGTAGTTCATCGGTAATATGGGAAGATCGAAGAAGATAAATTGAAACCTTCCGTGTCGTGTTCCCGCCTCCAGACCTAATGCTTAAAAATAAGTCTTATTACATACCAAAACCAAGTGCAACAAATGAGTACTCACTTTACCAGTTAAAGGGAAGAGAAAGCAAACTTTTGCTAAGTCCATTTGTTACGAAAAATTGTTTTCCCACACAGAAAATATTGAGTAAAGCATTATTTTCTCTATCAAAGAAGGATGTTAGATGACCAAGTAAAATCAACCTCGGTTAAGAATATCTGGTTATGGAAAAATGTGGTGGTTTCCGTTCGCATGTCCGCCGGTACTTTCATTGAGACAAAATGTTGAGCGCTTCTTCATTCTGTCCCGTGAATGTGACGTGCTCTGCACTTTAATGCAAATTCAATGGTTGGTTTACTCCGAATGAGTGAATTGCTGACTCCCGAGATCAACCGACGCAGTGTGGTTCCGCATCTAGGCCTTTACTCCCCGAATTGCACATTGGAACAAAGCTGTTATCGCCACATGAAAATCCGGTATGCTTAAAATGCAGCCCTTAGTTTACATTGCTGCATAGATTTTTGAATTAAGCGCTCTCTGCCTCACCAAAGACCCGTACACTGATCACCTCTTTGCAATCCGCTGACCACAGCCGGTTCCAGCCACATTTCTGGAACATCACTGAAAAAGACTTGAATAAGTTTCACATGTTTAGCTCGATCTGGTGAAGTCTCGCAGCCATACCACAATTCAGCCCTCGATGTAGTCTGATATAAGCCAACTTTGAAAGTCAATAACATGTTTTTTTGTTGTCACAATTAGTGGAAAATGCCAAACACAAATCCGGCCTTCTAAATTTAGGCGTTGATTCTGACCGTCTCACGGCCTTCAGAGCCAAGGTAATTTCTGAGTTGCGTATTGCGTTACTAAAATTGCACTGTTATTCCTTATATTTTCGGAGGCTGCTTCAAAGACGGTACGTTTCACAGGACAAAATAACCCTATAGTGGTACTATACGACTTATGCTTACTACTTTCTTTCTAAAATGTATGAACAATGTCGTTTCACATATTCCAGGTCGGCAAGGTTAAGAACGCCGGGTGTGGAAAGGGAAATTGATTACTGCATTACTGGCAAAACCAAACAAAATTCAAAAAAGGGGATTCACGTATCAGACACAAGCACTTGTAGGAAAGCCATTGGAGGACCTCCCAAGCACTCACATATAAGCATAGAAGATTGACGGAACTCTGGCACATGACAAGTGGCACAAATGCGTTGGAAGTACTGAACTAGGCGATAGAATCCAGTACGCCTTTAAAGCTAAGGGACACCGTGACCATAGGGCGTTTATACACATGCCGCTACTCCAACACTTGACGGAGTATGAAGGTCCAAACATCCCTTCTCCATCGGACGCCTGCTTGCTGTTCTTACTGGCCTTTATAAAATGGTGTGGAGTAATCAGAACTAAAATTCCATATACAGTGGAGATCAAGCCAATTTCTTTTTGGTTACCACACTCGCATGAACACGTTGTATAAAAACGAATACTCTTATCAACTCGTCCCAGTTTGTTAGAATGATATCTTTTGCCCAGATAGGAGCAAATAAATTAGACAAGGATCGACCAAGGATTTCACCTTAATCTCTGAACAAAACGGATGAGAGATCATCAAAAGCAGCAGCTTGTTCACGCTTGAGGGACAAGAGGAATTTGTTTATTTCTAAAACCTTCGGAGATTCCATGGTTGAGGTACACTTTAGATTTCCGACTGTGCAACTGCAGGTGGGCAATTAATTCGTAAATGGATACATCCAATGCAAAATTTTCGGCGTTCTATTTTGGAGAAAAACGTGCTATTTTATTCAGTGGTTGTTTAGCTCACAAAGGGCTTCTTTGCGCGTACCCGCTGGAATGTTTTTCGCTTCTTCCTGTAAACCTCTTGCCTCCTTCATCCTGCGAGCTATCAGGACCCACAAAGCTTTTGATCGGTAAAGATGCCTTTATTCTCCTGAGGTGTAACGGTTTGTTTCAACCAATACTTATCCGAAATTTTGGTGGTGCTGGCCAAACACTGCTTAGATCTAGGTTGTGCCGTTCCACGAGGCGAACGCCCAGGATCTTTAACGGATGCGGAAAATACCCTCCGGCAAGTCAACCTCAGAATATGTATTGTCCAGAGGATACTTAAATAGGTGGTTATTGTAGGCGCCTCAGTAACTAGACGATCTGCAAGTATACTGCACCTCTCTGAAAAGCGTAACGAGAAGCAGGAACAAAGAACTGCGTGATCCGAATGCGAATAGGATTTCCAGGGCGAGTGACAGTCAGTAGATGGTCAGCGCAACCTGTAGCTAATGGTAATGTGGTCATTCTCTTCTGCGGATAGACGCGCATCCGAGGAGCGCCACTTAGCCAAGCAACTTTGGGTGTCTCGAAATTGAGCACTACACATAAACAGTTCATGGTTGGTACGAAACTGCATCGGGCGTTCCTGTTATTCCTGCGTCTCGATTTCGTTCCAAGACAAACATCCAGTTGAGCTTCAGCAGCCTTAAGATTAGTTAACTGCGCAGTCATATCTTCGGCAACCACTCCACGCCAGCCGCAACCAGCTGCCATAGTGTCATAAAAGCTGTCTTTGCACTGAGCAAGCAGCGATGACTGGCGGCTTCACGGGATACTCCCGGAAACGATTCCTGATGAACCACACAAAGGCGAATATCAAGGGTGACCGTTAAGTCGGAGCCCCTTCAGCTCGATGAATTAGAACGATTCCAACCCCAGTGGGACCAACAGCACCGGCTTGTAGACCAGCGGAGCTGCACAACCAGAGGCAAGAAGAAACCGAGCGGGAGGTCATCTGGAATATCCTTCTTGGGTCTTGAATCCTCAATTCAAAGGGAGCACACATCGGTGAAATGCCCCATCGGTTGATGCAGTGTCATCAGCCAGCTCACCTCATTTGATGTAGAAAGGGTAAGCAGAGAGGGCTACTGCCGATACAACAAGAAAATGAGAAAGACTGGCATTTGCCAAACTTGTGTTCTACTTGAACAGCATTTGGTTGCAAATCGAAAAGTATAAAACAAGTTATAACTTGCCCCATCGTAGCTTCCAAATAAACTTTCGCATTAAGTTGGGCTTGATTTCAAATAGATCATACACTTTTGTGGGGCGTAATTCTTCATATTCACAAAAAAGTACGTAACGGAAAAGCAATTTCGGTGGGTAGAAAAACCAACCTGTACATCCTTGTTTTTCAGCCAGACGATGAGGTGTGAGATAATAAGGCGTTTATCCATCGACAGTTGAGGATAGTGTGAAATTATGATTGACATTGCACGCAGGCATTGTACTTGTCGCTGCAAGTGATACGTCCCAGTAGCCTGTCGGAAAATCTCATTGAAGATGAGTTCTGCTGACACTGGATGTAGGAGCACTGTAATTAGCTTTTGCAGAGAACGTCGCACAAATTTCGATCTCATCAGTGCTGGTGTTAGCAAAAGATCAACGATAGATTTGACATGCTTTTCGATGGTAACCCGAGAAAGGCACTTGAAGACTGCCTATAAGGGTTCAAATAAACCAAAATTAGCTTCAGTTAGATAGCTTGAATTGAAGGAATTCCCAATTCCAAGCTTTCAATATGATACCTTATCAAAATCACGAGAGGAAACAATCAAGACAAAAATGTTGGCTTCAATTGTTGGTTTTGTATCCGCGACATCCTGATTGTCTAATAGATTATATACTGGTAAGAAAAATCTGAATGGTGTTCAGTAGTTCTATCAATCACCGAGATATTAAGATCTGTCTCACAGATCCCTTGAACCAACAAAGCACTCCTGCTTTCAAAAGAACGTTCGTTTGACATGTACACTGTTCAGATGCATCTTTGCTTCTCTCATCAATATCTAAATAAACGCTAGCACGAATGATGGCGGCATCAGAAGCTGGGCTCTTCTCAGTGACGTTACAGCAATGCAACCAGGGCTGGGAACTGTTTTTGTGACCAAATTTGTCTTTACTGCATAGTATGCGGGAATAATCCCAAGCAGACTTAAATATTTTCAGCAATCTTGTGAGTAGTTTCATATATGAAAATATACTGCGATATCTCGAATATCGTGCCAACTAAAACATGAGACGGCCTGTGTGCAGCACATTCAGTTGTTGAATATCATGAACGAGAGATTCAGTTGAGTCTCTCGTGAAAACCAAATTGTGAGTGTGTTCCTCGAAAACATTCCGATTTGGGTTCAAGTAGAACATAAAGTTGACGGAAACTTGGGAACTGAGCCTACCTGATGAGCCCCATGAAGAGCAAAGCTGGTCGTGGGTTGTCGAAGAGTTTTCAGTAACCTTTCGAGTGGTTTTCTTTATAAAACATTTTCTGTTAGACGGTTGAGCTCGGTAGATATATAATTTTCTTGGGTATAATTGATCAACCACAGTTAAAGTCCTCTATAGTCAAAAGTTTTCCTCATTTTGTGCAAACGATTTAAGTAGGATCATCAAGTTACTCCACGTTTGCTTTTGTGAGGCTCATCGGTAGGGAACATCCCTCTTGATGCCAAGATTCAAACGCTGATAACCTGAGACGTAAACTCATTGGTACACTAGACGCACTTGAATTATCCACCGCAGGAGAGATCTGATTCTCTGCCCCAGGTCATCAAAGAAGGCAGAACATCCGTTTTTGCGTTTTTACCTATCAAATATAATTACTTTGCATCGGCAACGCACTGGTCACAATCTTATTTTGTATGTCAGGAAACCGGAGCAGGGTATTTTACTATATTTACTGTTGAGGCAATCCAAAAAAGGTAAACCAAGTCCCATACCTCCTTTATTGATGTCGACCAACCCAAAAACCATATTAGATCAGTCGGATCCAAGATCGCGTATATAATTACAGGATTTTTGTATACAACATACCATAAGGGGATGAATGAAACGTGTACTACATAAACTGTGGCTTTAATTACTAGCATTCTAATGGAACTACTCACAAGGCAGTACGTTAAACACGGCAGTTATCCATGATGAACTGTACCTGGTGGAGCGCTCAGAGATAATCAGAGAGAAATCCCTTAATAGTGTAGAAATTTCGTTCCGAATGCATTTTACAACTGACACAAGAATTTCAACAACATTATGGCGCGTGACAGTGAGCACATTGCAAACATGTTAGCATTAAGCTCACCTCGAGTGCTTGTAACACTTTGTAAACAACACGGCAGTTATCATCCTTTACAAGTTCAACGAACCAGGACAAAACCGATGACAAATTCTTATTTGAAGCAGAGTGAAATTGGGATGGCATTTTACACAAGTAATTCCAATAATGATCCTTCAGACATTCCGCAGCATTTTCGCGGGAAGAACTGTCCAGTTTATGAGACAGTTGCAGGCGTATCTGGCGCGGTATCATTTCCATCTCCCTGCTCTTTGGGATCTTATTCGTATTAACCAAATGAAATTTTCGGTCCACCGAGTTTTCATTCAAGGGGCTAATGCCGTGATGAGACATTACTGCTTGAACTTTTGAAGGGGTTTCATCAAGCATATTGTGAGGAGTGGCTTCCAAAAGACTGAACAAAACATTTGTTAACCGGTCTGGAAGTTGTTTCACCAAACGGCTAAGTGCTTGTGAATCCACGTAACCTAAAATAGAATTGATGCAATCCACGCAAAATCTGAACATTTCGGACGAATTATTTTGCATGACTTGCTCCAACAAAAACATCAAAGAAATAAGTAGATCCTGAGAGCTCAGAATTGCTTCCGGGTAGTTTGTAAAAACAGTCTTCACACGCTTGGCCGTCATACCCAACTCATATTTGTCCCACTCTTGGTTTTGTGTTTGAAAGAGCAGAAATTTCAAAATCGGCCCAGAATTACTGGTTGATAAGAGATGCGCCTGATAGCAAAACCAAACAATTTGCTGAAGGGATGGAGGAAAGGCGGGAAATCGGTTGTGAATTTCAGATTCGAGTTCTCCTAGCAAAATATTCTTCAAAATTGGATGACAGGCGCTTTGTAGCAGCAGGTAAACCACTCGCATACATGATGATTGTAGTTTGTCGTGACGAATAAGATTGGTCATCAAACATGAAACGGTTTGCGTTGTTCGCACAGATAAGTTTTGCAGATCAAGACAGGAAGACAGATATGACTCCAAGTGTCCAAGCTCCGCGATCATGAAGTCTTCATTTCCAATATGACGAATACGATTTATCGCAGTCATTATGTAGTGATTACATCCATTTTCGGTTGACGGTATATTCATCTTTGCAGATAGTTACGATGGAAGTTCTTTATACGCCTAATTGTTCATCATTTCAAGGTCACTTGTGATGCTAAATCTGTTGGACTTTGCATTAAGTATGAACAAAAAGTACATATTTGAAATTACCCGCTGGTTTTTAGAATATCTGTACCGTACTCGGTAAGGTTGAGGTCGAGTAGAGTGTGCGCTCTGTGTGACACCTACTGTGACACAAAGACACCGATAATTGCAGTGTTTTTATAACCCAAGGTTTTGATCATCATGACTGACCTACGTTGGGAGCATTCACAAAGGAATCACAAAGGACAAAGGAAACAAAGGTTGTCTGATAATTGTTCATTTGTGGCCAGTCTGCATGAGACTGTCCACTTCATCAGGATGCAGCAATGACAACTTCATAGGTTCAAGCCGAGTTTTGCTGGTCACTCGGCACACAGGCCAGAGAGTACCTAATGTCGAACTTCAACCACATCTACCGTGTTACCCATCCTACTGTTTCAGACTGAGTTTGTTGCTCCAGGCGGAATTTTAAAATCATGGTTCAGTTTCCTTTCTAAGCACTTTATTCTTCACACCATGACACTTACAGTTAGAGGCATATGTTGACAGATATGTTACTAAATTACTTGATGGGTTGGCCTGGAATGTGACACACTCCTTTAGGTTCTAGTGATCACCACTGTTTATATTGAGTCCGCGCAGAATGTGTTATGGTTTGGTATGTTTTCGTAAGGGCACTGTTTTCTATGTTACTTATGCGTGGCGTAAACGTGGTCTGTCCCACTGTGAGTGATACCAATTTACTGAGTCCCAGCAGAGTGCTGGGGCTGGGCCAAACATTAGATCTGGTATATTCCGGAGTCTGGGTTTAGCACTGAATTCATGTGGGGGAAGAGCCCAATAATCAGAGGGATCAATATCATGATAGAGGAAGTTGCACAGTTTAGAGATTGCGCTTTTGTGTTGAATTAGACGAGGAACTCACAAGCTGATTCCTACAGCATTTACTCTGCCGGTCACCGTGTGCTTCACTGCAAGTAGTAACGGCATTTTCGCGTAATAACTCTTCGACCAGTTGCGTCTAATTATCACTCCTGTTCCGGTAATTTGATGGGCAACCTACGTACACAGATATTTGGGAATCAACCCATTCGAAATGTGTGGGACCGGAATAAGTCCATCTATAAGGTGGATGCGCTAAAGGAGAAAATTCTAGGCATCCGATGAAAATGGAAGGAATAGTACATAGTTGTTCAAAGATACTTATGAAAATCACAGGGTTTTAGGGATGAAACGCGTTATTGTTACACCTATTTCCTTGGGGCTGCGGTAGTACTGCATGCGTTCCGGACAGACAAGAAGGAATTCACGGAATCGTATTCTGACTGGATGCTATACACAGCAAATAAACTGGACGGTAATTTGCTTGTTCGAACTATGCTGAGAGGTGGATTAGGATTATGCAGTTGAACTTCTTCAGCCGATCCCCAAGTACATGTTCGAATGACCAGACGTTGAAACTGTTGCGGAAGCTCAGGTAGAATTGAGTGTGTGGAAATCAGAGTCACCAGAGTTTACTGACTGACCTTATCTGCGTAGAGAGAATACTATCAAACTAGTCAAACCAGAAAGGGAAAAAGCATTGTCGCCTGATGCCCCTGTGAGCACTACTCAAATCTGTAAATTCCGACACCCAAGATTTCAACAGCGCTCGAAATCCTATTCCTGTTGTCAATGCTTAACTCAGAACAACCTCGTTGATAACATTAAAGTCTGTCCTCGGGCCTATCTGGTGTACTACGTCTACAATATGTCACACCCGCTAACTGTTGATTTTCTACGATGCTGTAAGTGTTAACCTGCTGCGCTCTCTGATACGTTCGACATTTTTCTACCCCGTTACCCCTTGTGTAACACTACTGTCATGGCCAATATTGTCATGTGTTGATATTCTCCCTAAGAGGTGAGTAGTCCGCTAGCAGTTGCAAAGCAAGTGACGGTGGTGGGGAGATGGATTCCAAAACACCTTGACAGCAGAGTATTTACAAAACTCAAGAAATTGCGATGAAGTGAACTCGAGACCGTTGTCCCTCACCATTTGTTTCATAGAACCGAATCACGGAACAAATAAAATTAAGAACGAACTAGTCGCCTTGGGTGAAATATTTATGGCCATTTTGAGTAGATGTTGATGAGCACAGGAGAGCTGATTTTAACAGTGCTCTCAGCAAAATTAATATGTATACGAAACCAAGTGCTCTGACTAGCTGATCCTGATTATCGCTCACCTTCAGAAGGCGAAAATAGGTTGGTACTGGGAATTCTCAATGAATATCACTTAGTTGTCACAGATGGAGAAGGCAGTTCCACACAAAGACCCATGGATCAACGTCTGAAACCTCCGAAAAAGGCAGGCTTGTTCAGTAATCTTTGGGTTCATACTTTCTTCAAAGACAAATGTGCTTCATGGGATTTATTTGGTAGCCTTGTCAAGCATAGATAGAAGACTCCTACGGAGTCACTGAGAGAAGTTTTGCTGTTGAAAAGGGGGGTAGTATATGGAGAGAATTGTGCGTCGTGTGGCCCCATGTTCGTGAAACTTGAGCTAGCCCTGCAGACACTAGACATGTGAACCGTGATGGCTGGCTAGATTGATAGCTAGGTCAAACTCCGAGGTGTTGTAATTCTTACATGTCCCTGAGTACGGATAGTAGTTGTTTCTCTGCACTTTTCCCGACTTTTTCTTTGGAAAGAACCCAGAAAATTGTTACAACTAAGAATAATACCAACCTTACAAGCACAGTCTTGATGTTTCGTTATGCCACACAAACAGCTTTGTCTTGTTTGCAGACAATCTAGTATTTTATCCTTCTTCGGTTGGCTGAGGGTGTCTAGATTAATTCAAGTAAATTACCAATGAATTCGGTTGGTTGGTAGGGGTATCTGGTAGTAAGAAACATGACTTAAATGTGTTAAAATATATTAAGCTGAGCAGAAAATATGTTATAGGTGGTGAAATCCTAACGTTCTATGTTGAGCGCAAGCTCACAAAATGAGGAATGACGGGAGTCTCAGTGTAGCTCTTCGTACATAGTACAGGATGAGAGGACTAATCGACGGAATGTGAATAGTGCAAGATAAATATTAGTATGCAGTCTACAAGGTATGTCTACTTCCCTGGAAAAGAACAGGAAACTAGAGCTAGATAGCTAGCATGTGACATGAATACAATGTTCACCGTTATATGACAATGTAAAGAGTTCGTGCTGTCAGGGGAGCCAATCCGTACTCAAAAGCTGAGAAGCACTGTACAACTGTTTCATCCCTATTAGGGATGAGTTCTTTCCAGATAGAAATATGCAGAACAAAGATGGCGTCACAGTGGTATTCCTATTAGGTCCTATTCATGCGGGCTCCTTCATGAGTAATCCAGAATCCAAATCGCTAATCCAATAACTCACACCATTGTCGCTCTGTGAAAGATGATTTAGTGACTGCTGTTGATGACATCAATTCAACCACTGTCTTAGGAACCTGCAAATTAGTACATCCTTATATTTATTTTACCTTAAAACCTGAGCTCAATGACCGGCTGCATTTCTTCGATGGCAATAAACGTGATGAAGAGAACAAAAGTACTCAGCCCAAAATGCACAGAAATCTCAAGTGAACGGGCTTCAACAGTTTTGTTTGGGGAAATATTGGGGGGAGACATTGTTATGAGTAGCTTCCAAAACGGTTCACAGCAGAAAATCGGGTTCATACTCGGATCCACGAAGGGTGGGAGGTCTACACAAACCGTTCAGTTAAATCAGATTAAACTGATACCAGAATGACAACAGATATTGTCGTTCTGACACATAATGTCGTACATTTGAGATCGAGTCTCTTTTCCGCCACACTATTCCTAGGTTTTGGTTAAGATTTGTCAACCTAGATAAAGAATGTGCTTTCCGAAAAACCCACCGAGCACTGTTAATTTGTTCAAACTCAGGCGGTTGTCGAGGCGTGGGTCACTGGAATCCGGTGAATTCACCCCTATCCCTGTGTTCAAAAGAAGCTAGCACAACCTTTGAACTTGTTCTGGCTTGCTGTCAGTCAAGCTGCATCTTCATAAGTGACGATGACATAAATATTTTTCCAAGTCAACCTAGCCATCCTGGGGGCCTGATTGCCTTTTTTTCCATGGAATGTTATATATGCCACAGAACTCATGTGACTTTTGTACATCTTACTACAAATTCCTAGTGACATGGCCTGGTGACAGTCACAGAAGTCACGCTATTTGCTCGGACATCTAGCTCACACATTACCAGATACAAGACACAGAGCTTGTGTGCATGAGCACCTTTCAGATTCTTCCTACTAAAAGGAAATGTAAGTGTATTTTGCGGGAGACCCACTTCAAGCCCAGCTAAATCACTCGTTTGTGATTTTTCCGGTGCATTTAAACCTCAAACTCCATTCCAAATTTAGTCCAGTTGAGCTAGAGTCAGATGCCCAGAGATTTAAACGATCTTCCTTCCTAAAACTTTCTTTTATTTTCCATTTAGTGGTTCTGGAATGTTTTCCCTTGTGATGTGGGGGAAAGACTGTCCTAAAGCTTCAATAGCGTCAATGAAAACGAAGAAGACACTGAAGTTCTGGTCTTTTGTCAAATAGAAGCTAAAACTCACATCATCACAATCCATCAAACCCAGGAGAAAACAAAGTATAAGGTCATTTTTACCACTTTCAAGGATTTTCTGCATCTACTTACCATTTGCTGCACACACATGAAGCTGGGATTAGTATAAACTTACATGGATCTATAATTGTATATACAAAAACCATCCCGTTGTAACTAACGTCTTCGTATTTATATTGTGATAGCCTTCATCTACATGCCTGATTATCGCTCACAAGTTGAGTGTGATAACTGGGTTTCCCCCATTTATATACAAAGTAAGTAGATGTTGATCTGTAGGGCGTTCCACTAAGTGGAACTGTAATCCCAGTGACTTTTTATTTGCCTTACTAAATGTGATGAACATGACTGATGCTCTATTCATTGCTCTATTCCTTATTCTCTTGTTTTAATATTCCATATGCTGTACATATTCGCCAATTCGAATACATACGTGCTGGTTGCCTGAAGGAAACGCCTTATTACCCTCACACTTCTATTGCAGGGGAGAGTACGATCCCAAACCGTCTTGTAATACATCATCATCATCGACAGCATGACATCAGTGTTCAACACCGATGCTTCACTGCCGTACAACCATGACTTATTTGAAAGCCTTATTGTAAAGAAAAGAGTAAAGGTGGACGGGGGAG